ACGTGTGTACACACACACACACACACACACACACACACAATATCATGGGAGGCACAGAGCCCTCAAAAAACTGAAAGCCGTCTGGGCATAGTGGCTCACGCCTATAATCCTAGCACTTTGGGAAGCCAAGACGGGCAGATTGCCTGAGCTCAGGAGTTTGTGACCAGCGTGGGCAACACGGTGAAACCCTGTCTTGACTAAAAATAAAAAGTCAAAAAATTAGCTGGGTATGGTAGTGTGCGCCTATAGTCCCAGCTACTCAGGAGGCTGAGGCAAGAGAATTGCTTGAACCCAGGAGGCAGAGGTTGCAGTGAGCCAAGATTGCACCGTTGCACTCCAGCTGCGTGACAGAGCGAGACGCTGTCTCAAAAAAAAAAAAAAAGGAAAGCTACGTTGGGTCCAGAGGAGGTTCAGTCAAAAGAAGGGACGGCAACAAGGGGAATGGGGAGGGGAAGGAAAGGGATGAAAGCACACGAGACCTCATCAGAGGGCAGATCTCAGGTCTGACAGTGGCAGGCTCCCAGCACACACATCTGCATTCACTCAATATCTGCTGAGTCCTGCTAGGTGCCCACGCAAACATACCTGGAAATCCTATCCTTTCCAGAAGTCTTTCCAGACTGCACTCAAGGAAATGTGCATCTTCTCCAGATGTGATCTGCCTAAATGCCTTCTTGCCTCCAAATTCCTTTGGTTTCTACCCTGAAAGAGGCTCAGCCTAGCAGAATAACTGCCGACCCCTCTCCATCTAAGCACCACACTCCTCTGGGTCTCCCAGGGATGTCCTCTGAGGAGTGTAGCAGTCTCCACCAGTCCTCAGAGCTAGAAGGCCTCTTAGGCTTCACCTGGTCCAGTGCCTTGCTCCACACCCATTGTACAGATGGAAATCTGTGCCCAGAGAGTGGTGGCCGGCTGCCCAAGGTCCCATGCTCAATCATCAGCCACCAGCAGAGGTGACTAAGAGCCAGCTGATGAGTGCCCCTCAGCCTGGATTCCTCACTTGTTGAACGGAATCATCAGGCTGCCTTGCCTGCCCAAAGTACAGCATGAGCTCAGGAGCAGGCAGCCTTGAGTTCAAATCCTGACACCGATGCCTCGCTGAACACATGACCAAGTTTAAATGACTTCACATATTTGAGACCCAATTCCAAATCTCTAAAATGGGGGTAACAATCCCTACCCCCCAGGGCTGCTATGAGAATAAGACAATAGAGAGAGAGGACTTAGTAAAGTGCCCAGTACCAAAACTGCAGTAATAGTATTGCTGTTATGATTGCCGCAAACATGGGGACAAGGCCTCCTAGATGAGGCCTCTGCACTGAGCGAACACTTTGCCCCTACCCTGCTCTCCCTGGCCAAGAACCTGCTCTGTCAGGCCACACATCTGGGTCTCTGGGACCATTACTCCTTCTGTGTCCCCACTTTTCACCTAGAACCCCACTACTGCCCCAGCTCCAAAGTAGCAAATGCAAAACTCGCCTCCATCTCTGGCTCTGACTCGTTCTCATGGTCCTCGGCCCCTTCCTCTTCCCAGATGCACAATCACAGCTCCAAGTACCATGGGCTCCTACCCTCCTGCTGCTGCATCCCCCAGCACAGAGCATTCCCACCAGGACACATTTCAATGTCTCCCACAAGGGAGAAGCCTGCATTACCTTTAGGGTAACCTGGGACCCCTGCCTCCCAGAGACAGTGTCTTTCCCTGCTCCAAGGCTCCCGGCAAGAAATGCTTCTCACTCCTCTTCCCACAGATGATGCTCCCTATGCCTAGGGAAGGTCAAATGCCTAATGGCATCAGGGGTGTGGAGCAGGCAACCCTTCTCTGGACCACAAAGAGAATGAAAGCGAGAATGGGGGCAGTTGTCTAGGAGCAATGGTCAGTACTGAAGGGTGGAGGAGAGATTCCCGAAAGCCCCAGCATGATGAAGGCCAAGGCTCTGGAAGAGAAGAGCCCTCAGCAAAGGCTCTTACTGTGCCGTGAAGGCCACTAGTCACTGGGTCACCCAGGTCAGGCCTGCCCTTTCTCTGGTTCCCTAGATGAGTCTTCTCTGCCTCCCTATGGGAACCCTTGGCACATCTTGCCAGACTCCAGAAAGAGGGGTAAAACCTGTCCTGCCTCCAGAGCAGCAGAAAAAGCCAGTTCTGGAAGCAGACAACAGCCTAGCTCCACCAATTGCCGGCTGTGTGTCTTTGGGCATGTGATTTGCCCTTTCTGGAACTCAGTTTCCCCAACTGTACAATGGTGTTAATGATACCCTACCTCATAGGATTACTATGAGGATTAAATGAGATAATGTCTAGCCACCAGCACAGCCCTACCCACCCCCAAACCTGAAAACCCAAGGCTCCTATCTGACATACTGCAGGGGCAGCAGAACTGAGGGTGGCAGGCAAGTGTTGCATAGCAGCACATGTGGCCCTCTTCCAGGTGTGGGGTCCATTCTGAGACAACAAGACCAAAGGAAATTTCTCAAATATCATGTAGACCACTCCCCACCCCTCTGCCCCTCCCCCAGGCCCTGAGCGTGCCCCTCCCCTTTTGCTGGTGGACTTCCCTGGGGGTGTGAGGAAAGGATGGCAATGCGAAGTCACCACCCACTCAGCGGATAAGCTCATGGGCAGTAACATCGCCCTACCTGCCGTTTTTCCTCTTTCCCTGACCCTGTGACTCAGATCCACAGCTTAACAGCTCCCATGTGGACATAATCTCAGAGGCTGCTTGGATTTGGTCATTTTTCTACACAGTCCCCAAACACCATATGTCCAACCAAGTGCCATCCAGTCACTTGTTCTACAACACTTCTTAGGCGTCTCTTTGGGTGCCGTGGGATTCCAACTCATGGCTCTCTTATCACGCTGCCTCTCTGATTCCAAACAGCACTGTCCAGTTCCATGTCAAACTCAAATCCTACTCCAAAGAATGAAGATGTACTCCTCCAGAGAGGGCCAAAGTTTAAGGATGGAGGAAGTCCCACAGGAAGAATCAAACTAATAAGGACACAGACACCCCAGAGGACTACTTTGAAGGGACTCTATTTCTATAACTGTCCTTTCCATAAATATTAAAGCACCCAACCCAGCTGTAAGGTATCTGAGCATGAGACATTCAGCTGACCTGCTTCCATCGAGTGCCTGGACTGAGTGAAGAGGGGACAGGAAGGAAAACAGGGTCCTCAGATTCCAACACCCCTCCTCACTTGAGACTTATGTTAACACAGGCTCCTCATCACCTCTGACCAGCTCATGTCTCACAGCACAGGAGTCTAGAGTACGCTGGAAAGCTTACTGCAGGCAGGAGAAACCACATGGAAGAACTCCAAAGGTCAGTCATGAGATCCAGACAGCATTACTGAAACACTTAAGGCAGGAACAAAGCTCTCTCCTGGCCAGAGTCCCCTTGCCATACAGCCCCTCACTACAAAAACTGAGGTCCACAGGGCTGACCCAAAGTCATGAAGGAAAATTGCATTCACATCAGGACACTCCAGTAAGCTGACTGTGATGTATGTAAATTTCCATGATCGACAGTTACCTTAAGTGTTAGTGCTTAAACTCAAGAACTCCAGATATCAGGGAAACGTAGGTGCTCACCCAAAATACTTCCTTGGAAATATGAGCCAGTTCATACCCTACAGCCCCATAGCCCTCCACCCTGCCCTGCACTCAGATCAGCCCAACCCATTGGACAGGTTTAGACTTCAAGTTTAGACTTTAATTCCTCTCGGCCTCAAACTGATGCTGCACAGCATCAGATTTCCTAGGGACTTCTGGGAGCCCAGAGGGAACTAGAGGAGGTCGCACTATATAAAGAACTCTCTTAAAGACAAAGCAGCTTCATTACTTTCTAATATAGAAGCTAACTGCTAAAGACATGCTTGTAAGAAAAGGACCCGGGGCTTTAATTTAATGAAGACATCAGATTCATTTACAATTATCCACATCCAATTTGAAGGTAAATAGTTCTTCTGAATTAAGACAAATAGCACCCCCCCCAGCCACACACACACACTCTTCTTTTTTGCTTTAGTATTCGCTTAAGGTTTTCCCTCAGTGATAGATCCCATATCTGAGTCATCCATCACGCTTTTCTCATTAGGGCAGGTTTGGCTTAGAAATAAATCCCCTGCCTTAGGCGGCCAAACCTGCCAATTCGCAAGCTAAACGGTGGCAGGGAGGGCCCTGGGCGCTGTGATTTAATCTCCTCCCTTCTAGTGTGCCTCCATTGGAGTCCCCACCTTCCTCCACCGTCACCGGCATCTCCTCTCCATCCCACCTCACCCCCACCTTCCCGAGGCTTCCCAAGCCCAAACTGCCCATCCCGGTCCCCTCCCCACCCCCAACACCTCCTCACCCCCTGGCCCCTGCCAGCCGTCTCTACCTGTCCTTCCCGGAACCTGACCCCTCATGCCCACGCCTGCCTGTGGAAGTGCCCCCGTCGCCCACACCTTCGCCCTGCAGGGCCCCGAGGAGTGGACCCACCCAACCCCTCGCCCTCCCTCCGCCCCCCGCCGCTCCCCTCCCCGCGCTGGGCGTTTTCCTCCGCAGGGCCCAGGAGACCCCCGCTGACCCCCCAGCCCCGGCTGGCGGCTTCGTTACGCTTCTACACGGGACAGATCTGCCCCCGTGCCCGCTCCAGACCGGGGGCCTCCGAAAGCGCATTCACCTACCCCGCCCGGCTCCGCGGCTTCCGGGGTCGGCAGGTCAGACGGCGCCCGGGACCCTCTCAGCCCGAGGGAAGAGGTGGACAGAGTTGGATCCGGGCGCCCTCCAGCTCCCGGCTGATCCCAGAGCTCCAGGGCTGGAGCCGCGCCCGCGGTTCCCGGGACTCCTGTGCGCGGAGGCCGCCGGGACCCGGGAGAGGGCCGGGGAGCGGGAGCCTGGAGGGAGGGCGCCCCGGCGTGGCTCCGGCTGCCCTGCGCTGGAAGGTGCGGGCCTCCGGGGACTCCTGGCCCGACCCGCCCCAGACAAAGGCCGCCCCACCCCGCGCCGCCCGCGCATACCAGCTCCCACCGCGCCGCGCCGACTCCGGGACTCCGGGACTCCGGACGCGGCCCAGCCTGGGCCAGATGCCGCCGATGTTGCCGCCGCCGCCGCGAGGCCGGGCCCGAAAGGGGACCGGGGGCGGCCCGGGGAGTCCGAGGGGCGGGGCTGGCCGGGGACTCCGCCGGGGACCCGGGAAGGCGGCTCAGGTGCGCCCCCAAGGCTGGATTGGCCCCACGGCGGCGGCTGCGGCCCGAGGCCTGAACCACCCGGCTGGGCAGAGCACCCCGCCTGGACCCCGCCCCGCCCCGCCCCCAGGCCTGACCCTGGCGGGGAAAACCCCCGGGCGCTGCCCACCCCCCACCCCGTTCCCACGCTTCCAAGAGCCGAATCTTCCTTTCCGCGAGAGGGGACGGGTGACTAACTGGTCATCGACTGGCAGCGGAACACGGCTGGAATCCTGCTGTCGGGCCCCAGTCCTGGGTTCTTCCTCCATACCATGCTGGCGCCACAGCCCAGAAAGGGTTAACCCGACTGCGCGGAATTAAGAGCTGCGGGGAGCTCTCTATAAATACAGTGTCGTGGGCGCCTGAGCCAACCGCAGGACAATTTCCACTGAGCTGCTTTTCCTCTTTTCCTTCCACCCACGGCCACCCGACCAGCCCTGCCCCCAGCCCCAGCCCAGACTGCTGGCCAGACCTGGCTCCAGCAGGCCTGACACCCGGTGGCCTTGGACCCTGTTACACGGCCCCGCTCCAGCGTGGGAGGAGATGGAGGTCGGGCCTGTCCAGATTTTGCCGTGGTAAAGCCCATCCCTCCACCTGTTCTTGGATCTGTTCTTCTTCATAGGGACAGTGACAGCTACAATGTAGGGAGGCTTTTGTGGGCCAGAGTTAGGCTAGGAGCTTTCCATGCTGGGCCTCTTTAGTCCCTCCATACAGCCCCTCCACGTAGATATTATTATTCCCATTTCACAGATGAGAAAACCAAGGCTCAGCGGGATGAAGGGCCTCCAAACTTGTACTGCTGACAGGCTCACCACCAATGCCAGCGGCAGTGCTGGGCAGGGCTTGGGAATAGGTATGAAAACGTGTGTCTCTCTGCAGGTGTTGCCACTCTTGTAAGCTCTTTACCATTTATTCTCATTTAATCTTCACAACAACTAATATTGAGGTGAATGCCATTATTGTCCTCATTTTTACAGATATGGAAATTAACATACAAAGAGATTAAGTCACTTGAGGGCACACAGCTATGAAGGGAGGAAGAAGGATTTGCCCCCTGAATTTAAGTGTGCATGTGGTGTATGGGTAGCAGTGGTGGTGCATGGGTGTGTATATTTGTGAACACATTCAAGCAACTCTCTGTATTTGACTCTACATGCAGACGGTGTTTTTGAATCACACAGTGGCTATGACTGTGTGATTGGCGACTGCTCCTAGGGATGGCAACAGAGAAGCCCAGTTGTCTGGTCCCTGATGACCTCCAGGAACTCTGAACCGATCCATACTGCTCCCCGCTACCCTGCCAGGCCCTGTCCAGCCTTGTTCAGCCTGGGTTTGGCCTTACAGGTCTCAGGATGAGTAGCCCCCACTTGGCCCAGCAACCTGAGAAAGAAGCATCACAGGGAGAGGTGTCCCTGGGCTGAGGGAGCCAGGAGCCCTGCTGCAGGACCCCGGAGGCGGCCTTGAACAGATCTAGAGGAACTTGCTTTCCTTCCCTTCAGCAAGAGTCAGTCCTGTGCTTTGTGCCCTGTGGTGATGACACGGGTCCTGTCCTAGGGGATTTATAGTCTGGCATCACTCAGCCATGACGGCCAGTGAAGGAAGAGCAGAGAGCAGTTTATAGCGTGTCTGTGGGGGGAGATTTTAAAATAATTGGTCAAAAGCAGAGGTCAGGAGGGAAGAAAACAAGTATTCACTCTCATTCCTGGAAGCAGCAGATTGAGAGGGCTCTGATCCCCTAGGAAGGGCAAATATCTTGGGCAGGGCACAGATAGCATGTGTATAGAACCAGCTCATCTGAGACTCAGACCCTTGGCTCTGGACAGATAGCTAGAATGATCATCCCAGCATGCAGGGGTCTCCTTGATTTAGAGAATGTTTGTCTGATCGTCCCTGGGAACTCAGTAATGGGGATGCTACACAGAAATTCCCATCTGAACCAGAAAAACTCAGGATGGAAGGTTGTCTTCATGCATTTTTTGGGGACAACAACCTCATCCCTCTCACCTCTATTCCTCCCACCCCTCACCTCCCCCACCTCCCCACAACCTGCTTCCTGGGCAGCACAGGAGTAGATGACTCAGAATGTGCTATCTCCAGTTTTGCCTCAAGTTCCCCAAGGAGATCACAAACCAATCCCGAAAGACCCAGATTGGGACAAGCTTTATTCCACTTGTTATCTACCTATCATCCTGCAGGCTCCTCAGATTCAACATGTGCAAAATTGAACTATCACCTGTCCTCGAAACCTGTTTCTCCTTCTAGATATATAGGAAGGACTATGCTCAAAACCTGGACTCACCCCTCCCTCCCCCCCGCCCTCCCACCCCTCCCTCCTTCCCACTTTCAGTATCCAGGCAGGCATGAAGGGACGCCCCAGAATATCTTAGGAATCCATCCCTTTCCTGAATACCCTACTGCCACCCTATCCTCACATGAGCCCCCATCACTCCTCACTGGATTGTTGTTGAAAGCTCTTAACTGATTCTGCTGGCTATGACTCCTCAGTCCATAGCTGCCAGAGAGAGTCTTCTAAAGCACAAATCCTCCCACAATGCCTCTTGCCCTCTACTGTTGTCATTTCCCCTTAGGCTGCCAGTTGTCCCATAAAATTCATTCTCTTCTTCTTCCTTACCCACGGAGTATAGAATTTGTTCTAAGAAGTTCTGTGCCTGGTTGAAAAATACATAGGTTCTCAGACTCCCTTGCAGCTAGAGGTGGTCAGGTGACCCAATGTAGAAATGAGATGGAAATCAAACTCACTGATTGAGGCTTTGGGGAAAGCTTGTTAAAGGAGCGGCCTCTCTTATGCAAACCAGTCTGGTAGTTCCTCAAAATTTAAAAATAGGCCAGGTGAGGTGGGTCACACCTGTAATCCCAGCTCTTTGGGAGGCCAAGGCAGCCAGATTACCTGAGGTTAGGAGTTTGAGACCAGTCTGGCCAACATGGCAAAACCATTCTCTACTAAAAAAAAATACAAAAATTAGCCAGGGGTGGTGGTGCTCGCCTGGAGTCCCAGCTACTCGGGAAGCTGAGGCAGGGGGATCGTTTGAACGCAGGAGGTGGAGGTTGCAGTGAACCGAGATCATGCCATTGCACTCCAGCCTAGTCATCAGAGTTAGGCTCTGTCTCAAAAAAAAAATAGAACTACTATATGATTTAGCAATTCCACTTACGGGCATACCCTCAAAGAATTGAAAGCAGGGGCTCAGAGAGATATTTGTACACTCATATTCATAGTGGTATTACTCACAACAGCCAAATGTGGAAGCAACCCAGGTGTCTACATCTACAGATGAATGGATAGGCAAAATGCGGTGGATCCGTAAAACAGAATGCTCTGTTACAACTTTCCTCAGGGCAGAAATTATGAGTGAAATTCGGAAGCAACTTCCTTTTGCCTCCTTTGGCCTACAAAAGGAAAAGTGTCTCTCTCATCTGTTTAAATACACTTAAATCAAGCAAACTGGATTTCTTAACCTAACTGTATAGTGTAAGCTATGGAGACATTTCTGGATTTTTAGAGCAGCTAAGCAGTGCCTCTCATAGAAAGCAGCTCAGAAACACTGAGATGCCTGTCCTAAGAATGATACTGAAATTGTGTTCATTTTGACTGCTTCCGTGAGGAGCAAAAATCAATTCTTGGCAGTGCCGGGGATTGAAGGCCCATGTGGGGATTTTATCGAGGACCCCTGTGACACTAAGTCAACAGCTTGGCACTAGCCTTCCTTCCCTCAGGCTGGTTGGTTCATATTACTTCCCAAGTTGTTTGCATTTTTAGGCCTCAAATCCTTGATGTCTTGGCAAAGGCCACCCACCCACACTCCACTCTGCCCACTCACTTAGGACTCCTAGGGCTGCCATCGGGAGCCATTCCATTCAGCCTAGACTTAAGGGAACCACATTTCTCTCAAATGACTGAACCCGGTGTAAAACTGAATACGGTGCATACCATCCACTGCAGGTTCCTGGCTTCTAGTTTCTTAGCCCTGGGAATTGAGTCTTGGAATAGGCTTCAAATGTCTAGAACAAACTGCTTCCAGCTGGAAGCGTCTGGCGAGCAAAATAACAGAAGCAGCCTGATGAAAGAGAAACGGGTCCTCCAAGGGGGATCACTTTGGAACACTTCACTGCCCTAAAGCCCTAAGACACACACAACAAAATTACCAAAGAGCTCCTAAGCCGTCTTTTGTAACTAGCTGCTTCCATCTGACTTACCAGCAACCTCTTCCTTCCTGTTCACCCTTTCCTTTATCTGTTTTCCTTCCTGTTCACCCTTTCCATTACCTGTCTTCCTCCCTGTCCCCAGTGAAACGGAGCCATTCAACCCCTTTTCCCTTTCCAATTTCTTTGCTAAAGCCTGGGCTGACAATACTCCCAATACCAGGAAGCCATTTCAGAGTGTGTGTCCTGCTCCTGGTGAGTCAGAAGGAAGGTGGGGGGTCACTCACACAGAAGGGCTGGACAGAGTTTAAAAAACAAAACAACAGAACTGAAAACAGCCAGGCTACCAGGAGAACTCTTCTATCTCACTAGGAGTTGATTTTTTCTAATAGCTCTCACATGCAAATAATTGAACAGGCTCAGTCCTTGTGCTGACCTGAAAGTCAGCTCCTCCGTCAGTGTTGCATCACAGGTGCGAGCACTCCAGGCTCATCCTGGCCCTGCCCTTAGGCTCAGAGAAGCAGGCACTGACCAGAACGATGAAGGATTCCTAGACGAATCAGATCGAGTGCCCCCGGCTTGGAGAACAAGGGGCCCAGCCTCACAAGCCACTGGTGATGGCTCTCTTAAGGAAGACAGTGGATAAAATGAAATCCAGAAATCCGAATTTCAATCCAGGTGCTTAATCCTTTTTTTTTCTTTTCTTTTTTTAAGAGACGGGGTCTCATTCTGTCACTCCAGCTAGGGTGCAGCAGTGCAATCAAAGTTCACTGCAGCTTGAATTCACCCCTGGGCATGAGCCATCCTCCTGCCTCAGCCTCCCTACTAGCTAGGACTACAGGAGTCAGCCAGGTGCTGAATCTTAAGTGCTAATAT